TAGACATTGAGTATACGGGGTTGAACTCACCATACACAAAACATTAACACAAACATCCTCTAGCATCAGAGAAACATGGACTCTGAAAAGTTAGTAAGGTGAATATTCTCATGGGACTTGAAGAAGAGACAATCGGAGGAGAAAACATATTGATGATACTGTACAAACAAAGAGAACTGGTAAACAAACTAAGAGAAACTGAGGCGCGTATATGAGTGTCTGTTACATTTTTGAAGAATTGATCTGACTGGGGTCAAGGTCGAGTAACTGTTTGTGTGAGTGGTAAAGGCCGAAACTGGGTCAGATACCTTTGATAAATTGGGTACTATTGATATTGAATGTCATGTCCATTTTAAATAAGTTAATACCCATGTTTTCAGTGAAAAATACTATATATACTATATTCAATGTGTGAACAAAGGTACACCTTTGGGTATCGGAAATGTCTGGAGACATTTATTATGGGAGAGGAGAGTTGTGTCATCCCACACGATGCTCCCTGCCCCCACCCCCCTTCTCCCTCTCATACACACTCATGCACACCTCGATATATACAGCAGTGAGACTAAAAGCAGAAGTGCTTGTCACTTTATCTTTAGCGTCATCCCACACGATGCTCCCTGCTACCACCCCCCTTCTCCCTCTCATACACACTCATGCACACCTCGATATATACAGCAGTGAGACTAAAAGCAGAAGTGCTTGTCACTTTATCTTTAGCGTAATCCTAATTTGAACCTTATTTTTAACTCCATGTCATGCATTTGAAAATAAAGATATGATGTAGTGACGTTATATGCATTTTGTAAAAAAGAGATTAATTATTAAAGTGCACATCGTAATAATTCATAAGTATTGGTTTTCATAAAGAGGAAGTGCCAAAAAAAACTTGCAAAAAGCCAGTCGGTTTCAGTGTAAACCTTGAACACAACACAATCAAACATGAGCTGTAGTTGCTGTATCGTCACAGACACCTGCACCCTCACAGTGGGTAAAAAATACAAATATAAACACACGCAGGTCTTGGTATTAGGAGATAAAATGACATTTGGTACTGATGAAAAAGTCTGACTGGATTGTGACACCCTCTCTTTTTCTTTATTTTGAAAACTTCTGCTTTGCTTGCTTTTATTTCTTGACATCTTGATGTCTTAAGAGAAGCACATCTAAAAACTTTAAAGGTCCCATTGTTGTAGATTTCCATGTGTTGTTTGATTATGAAGCAGGTCTAAGTTCTATATTAATACCGTGAATGTATCAAAGCGGCTCAGTCAACAGAGAAATGCACACAGCCTGTATTCAGAAAACTGGGCCTTAAAACCAGCCGTCAGTACTTCTGTAACTTTGTGATTTCACAACAAAACAGACACCGCTCTCTGCCAAGCCCCCCTGGACAAACCATCCAACCTTGCAGGATTTGGTTTCTCTGAGTGTTTACGTGAAATTTGCTAGATTTTTATTCAACCACTCAGAAAATAATCAGCTAATCAGAGGAGAGGCTCAGAGCCTCCTCTCCTCTCATTGGCTTAACATCCTGTTGTTACTAGAGCTCCAGAGAGAAGCCTGGGAGAGGAGATGTAAAACTACACTGAGATGGTTTGTGGTTCTTTAAACCACAAATATATCTCCTTATAGATCAACACCTCAAATAAAACACAGGAAACATGTTAAATATGCGACCTTTAAACTTCAGAAATGCTTTGAGAGCTACAGATATAGCACAGAGAGTGAAATAATGAATGAGACTAAATTTAGTCTAATACCAGTATAGTATAGAGACTTTAGGAAAAAGAATTATAAAGGATTCAACATACAAAATTATAGATATATGTAAAAAAAAAAAAAAAAAAAAAAAAAAAAAAAAACTAAAGTATATTATGTCACAAGTGTAAATATCTAATTTGCAGGAAAGGCCTGAGAATATGTTGAGGTCAAGAGACATAGGTCATTGTTGTGATGACTTGAGGAAAGGGGGGCTGTGGAGGTGTTTGTCTGAGATCCATTGGTAGGCCAATCCATAAGGCTCTATGGTCCCAACGAGGACAGGTCCTAAACCAGTTGATGATGCCCCCTGATGGGATGCTTCCAACAGCCCCACAGTAAAAGGTCTTTCGGACCCTCAGAGAGACTGTTAGCTGTCTGACGTGATGAAGCTGCCTGTGTGTGGACCCTGTCAGATTCTCAGTGATGTGGACTCCCAGGTGCCCTCTGAACAACTGTCCTGCTGATCATAAGGGATATATTTTGCCTCTGTTGCTTCTTCCTAAATTCCACAATCAGCTCAGAAGGAGCTCGAGTTATCACCAGAACTGAAATGCAAAGATGGAGGACCTCGAGTTCATCCCTCAGAGCAAATCTGACTTTTTCATAAATCGTTATGTCAGTTGTGCTGCAGGTGGATCGGATGTTTACCAATGTTGGAAAAAAAAAAATATCTGCAATCAGTGAGCAGTGTCTGAGACACCCTGTATGTGGTCAGTGTGTCTCATGTGCCAAAAATGAAAAAAAAAGTGTTGAAAAAAAAAAAAAAAAGAAAAAAAACTTCCCCACAACAGTAAAACAACTTAGACCAGGAAATAGTCCATCCATCCTTTTTCTTCCACTTATCCGAGGTCGGGTCGCCGTGGCAGCAGGTGAAGCAAAGTAGTCCAGATGTCCCTCTCCCCAGCAACGTTTTCCAGCTCCTTTCTGGGGGATCCTGCGACATCCCCAAGCCAGATCAGAAATATAATCTCTCCAGCCCGAACCACTTCAACTGGTTCCGACACAAAGGAGCAAAGGCTCTACTCCAAGCTCTACTCAGAGCTTCTTACCCTATCTCTATAGCTGAGCTCATGACATTGTGGTGACACCTTAAGTATCACTTGCATAGCACCTTTAATTTAATTCAGCACTGCCTTGCATTTATGAAAACCTGAGTTGTATGTATGAAAAAAAAAAAAAAAAATTCCCATTCGGACCCCTGTGTATTTAATACAGTCTGGTTGTATGTCTCTGTTGTCATTAAGAAATCACTGAGCTAATTGAATGTACTCAATTCATAGAACACAGTGCTCTATAAATTACACCTTTCATTTCCTGAGCAACAGTTTGTTTTCAGAAATCAGCAGACCAAACAATGTGTATTCATAGGCTTGGCTTAGAGGTCTCAACAAATTAGGTTGGTTCTTCTAAGCTGTTCTTCCTTTTGAGGTTTGTAACTTCCTATTACTCTACTTATACGCCCATGAATCTAGTGCTGGTTACTATTCCTTACAGTAACATAACATGACACAGACCTCATTGGATTCAGACAAACAGGTGAGTGATTTTTCTGTTTGTACCAGTGGGTTAAAGTGAGAGGCACTCATTACAGATTTAAACATTTTAATTGAATGTGCATTGATTAGTTGCTCTTTTAGTAAAAGTCAGATTTGGAGACATAACTTTTTAAAGTTCAGTCTTTATGCAGTGTGCATCAGCGGCACAGTAGTAACTACAAATGGCTGGCAAATAATACATTGCCCACACAGGATTGAAAACATGCATTACATTACATTTTATTTAAGCTGTGAACATCAAAGTCCAAGTCCTGGGAGTTCTCATCCCAATCTGCTACAGCTATGCGATGTCTAATTTAGGCATTTAAATCCGTCACAAACATGATACGCAACTGTTAATGCATTACTGTGTAACCTCAAAATGGCAATTCATCAACTACGTGTGACTTCAATACTGTTTGTGAAAATCATTGACATGTAGAGTTAGTTGGCACAGTGGCACATTGTGTCAGATGATAAAATCAGACAGGGTACAATCTTGAGTAAAATTGTACAGAGGATGTGGTGATGTGAAAGATAAGTCTGCAGAATAATAAGGGCAGAGAGCAGAAATATAAATTCCTCTTTCAGAGAAACTGACTGTCGAGCTGCCTCGAAAACAGAAAAAGATGCTTTGCACGTTACATACACAATACACTGGAGTAAAAGAAAAAAAAAAAAAAACATTGTTTAACACCCACTAATACCACAAGATGTAATTGTTAGTGGGTGAAATTTGCTATTGCTGAACAGTGAAGTTTTAAACTGCCTGAGCTCCAGACCACCCATGGGAAGATCAGACTGCGGGGGGGGGGGGGGTGGGGGGGGGGGGGGGGGGGGGGGGGGGGCGTGACCCTCCTCCAGGAAATTGTGACATGGTCCAGTGAAGATAAAGAGGGTATTAGGTGCATATATATATATATATATATATATATATACATATATATATTGTGTATAAGTTTCAACCACTGACATAGGTTATACACATTTTTTTGTGCTGATTTCTTGCTTTGGTATTGATTTTACTCATTACACTTACATTAGAGGTAGATGGGTTAAACATATGATGTTAGTTTATTACATTTATATTGATCAATTGGTTTTTTTGATGATAAAGTAGTAGGTTTCATGACTGGGCTTCTGTTTTTGACACTCTATGAGAAATTTAGCGACGTGTGAACTTTCTTGTTATTGTCCCCGTCTCTAAATGTTCCCATCTTTTCTTAATTTCGTTTTTTCTATTTAACTTCTTAGTACTGATCTATAAAGACTTAATAAATGATTGATTTTAAAAGGGTTAAAAAGGGTTTAAAAGTGAAACAAACTTGCACAGATCAATAGCATGCAGAAGTCTGCGTCAGCTGTTAAAGTAGCACCCATGTTCTTCTCACCTCTGGTTGGTTTCTTGTTCCGTTTTGGTTAGTAGTTAGTTTGTGAAGAAGGTGATAATGTACGTGAGCTTGTAAGACATGTTTTGCATAATTAGAATAACCACAACATGTGTTTGAGCACATATTTGACATGTCATGAACACGTTTTTGCAATAAATTGAAACTGTTTGAATTGTTATATAACTAAATATCTCAATACCCCTTTACTGTTACTGAAGGAAAAAACAGAAGAAAGCCAAAACATCCATATGTATACCATACCATATGTATGTACCATATGCTTGTCCCGCTTCAGAACAAATCTGATCACTTGTTAAGTGCCTGTTTAGTTTTATATGCTCTAATCTCTGTTGTAGATCTCAGCAGTGTGAAGTTTGAGGATCCAGACGTTTTCCCTCCAGGATGATTCACTGTCTTTTCAGCCAGATGGGAAATATCAGCATTAACCCGTCACCCCAAAAGGTCAACTTGAGCTCTTTGAATATCTTCACCATCTCCCTCCACGGCTTGGTCTCTTCCATTGGCATCATAGAAAACCTCCTCATCCTCGGAGTAGTGGGCTTCCATGTCCGCCGCTCTGTCATCAGCATCTGGATCCTGAACCTCGCGGCCTCCGACCTGCTGGCCACCTCCTCCTTGCCCATCTTCACTCTCTACATGGCACGAGGCAACACATGGACGTTGGGCCCAACCTTCTGCCGCATCCATTCCTCCATCTTCTTTCTCAACATGTTTGTCAGTGGCTTCCTGCTGGCGGCGATTTCTTTGGATCGCTGCCTGGTGGTTGTGAGACCTGTCTGGGCCCAGAACAACAGAAACCCAGAGCTTGTGAAGAAGATATGTGGGGGGATTTGGGTCTTGGCTGCGCTCTGCACCATCCCTTTCTACATATACCGTGGCACCATTCACCTACCCGACGGCAAGATTCTCTGTTACTACGATTATGCCCGAGCCCTCCTCCCCAGTGAGCCGTTCGACCTGAAAGCTTTATGTAAGCATCGCAAGGAGGGATTGGCCTTCATGAAGCTCTTCTTAGCCTTCCTGATCCCTCTACTAATCATCATCCTCAGCTATTCTGCCGTGAACGCCACCTTGGTGCGCAGAGGCTACCAACGCTCCTTCCGTTTCGTTCGGCTGGTCGTGGCCGTGGTGGTGACCTTTGTGCTCTGCTGGGCTCCATACCACTTCTTCATCATCATGGAGGTGATGGCTCCCAGTGGGAGTCCTTTGCAGAAACACGCAAGCAAGGCCCTCCCAATCTCTGCAACCATCGGCTTCCTTAATAGCATCATCAACCCCATCCTGTACGTGTTCAGCTGCCCTGACCTGTGCAAGAAGATCAGACACTCTCTGGGAGCGGTGATGGAGAGTGTTCTGGCTGAGGATCTGATGGAGCTGGCCCGGCGCCGCAGCACTGCTCGCAGCTCTATCAGCACCTCCGAGTTTTTGATGAAGCACAGGAATTCTGCTGGAACTGTGTGTCTGAAAACCGAGGAACAAGACAAGGATGAAAGTACTGCTAACACCATTCAGTAATGAACAAAAACAAAAAGCAAAATTCCCTGGCTGCCCCAGTGATTTCTGCTCTTGTTGCTGTTTTTATTTGCAATGTAATCCATGTTTATCTGTTTTCCTATGCAAATAATCTGAAACAGTTCACATTGCCTGCACAGATGTTTCAAATTAAAAGCCATCCAGCAGCCCACAGGGCATAGTCCCTTTTGTTCCTAGCAGGCTTTTAATTTGAAACATCTACAAGTGGCATTAAAGGTCCATATTTTACTCTTTTCCTGTGTTTTATTTGAAATGTCGATCTATAAGAAGATATATTTGTGGTTTTAAGAACCAAAAACCATCACAATGTAGTTTTATATCTCCTCTCTCAGGCTTCTCTCTGGAGCTCTAGTAACAACAAGTCGGTGAACCAATCAGAAGAGAGGAGGTTCAGGGCCTCTCACCTGATTGGCTGACTGTTTTCTGGGTGATTGAATAAAAAATATAGCATATTTCAGGTAAAACACTCAGAGAAACCAAATCCTGTAAGTTTGGATGGTGGGTCTGGGTGGGTGGGGCTTAGGGCATGGTTGTGAGCTTAGATCTGTGACTGCTTTCTTGTGACATCACACACTTATACTATATGGGACCTTTAAGTTTCATTGCTGCTGATTTAATAGTCAACACACGGCGACATGGCAGTACGGATGGAATCAGTGGTGTCGACATGTACATTCTGCTACATTACGCTATGTGTATCATCTTTCATGACCTATATTTGAAGACTGATTTTATTTTATAATTTACTCCACTTTGAGTTTGATTAGCTTACCTGACTGATATCACTTTGGCAAAAAATAATAATTAACAAGAGCATTCAAGGATTTAGTTAGAATTACTATAGAGTATTAACTTAATACTCACACCAGCTATGTGCTTATACTGCAGCTCCTATCCTGCTAAATGAACGACAAACTGCTGGCACAGGACAAAGAAAACAAAAATGAGCAGTATTCTTTTTTTTGTTTTTTTTCATATTAACCCACTTAACCTTTGTGTAGATGAGTTATTACTTCTTTTGAAAGTTTGAGCTGTGAGTCACATGCATGAGATCTCTCACCAGATGTTAGATGTTCTCACCAGTAGCTGTGAGAATTGACACAAGCACACTTTTGAAATCCCCTGCACACTTGCTCTTTTTATGATATGTAGATACGATAGAAAATGGATGCCTTTGCATTGTACATCTGCTTCCTTCGATGTAATGTCTATCCCCCTTGATGCGATGAAGTGGCATTAATAAAGAAGAAAAGCAAAGAAAAAGAAAAGCTGTGGTGTTGCTGTGTGACACTTGCCTTGCAATTATAGAAACACAGTTATGGCTTGTGTTTCCGTTGTGATTCACACCAGCTGTTTCTTTCCAGTAATTGACAGCAAACAAATGATTAAGCATTTTTTTTTATTCTATTCCGTTGTAAACATTACAGTCAACAAGAAACCAAAAAAAATCATTAAGGGTTTTCATTTCCATTTAAAGGTCAGTCTCTTTAAAAACACACCTAAATAAAGTTGTATTTCCGATGGTTATATGTCTCTACTTTGAAGGCGCAATAGGTTTTGTTGGTCATCAAAAAATATTTTCATTGTTGGAAAATATGAAACAGTGAATTTCCATATTTATAATTCATTATAAAGTATTGAAGTTATTTTGAAGTTCAAGACTTTGCACTTTGAAATCTTTGTGCTCCACACAAATGTTTCTGTTTTCATCATCTCCTGAATCAGTGTTTCGATGATTATAAAGGAGAATCTCAAATTAAAAACTGTACTAGTAGAATTCTTAGATGACATCCACATAAACAGTGCACATGCATGTCCACTAGGTGGTGCAATTGCTTCAGGTCTGTGGTCAAATCCAAGTTATACAGTTAGAAGATTATTATGTCCAGTTTCACTCTCCCCCTGTGTGTCTGTATGAGCTCTGGTGCTGAGGCTCATCTTTTTTCGAGTGTCTTGCCCCCCTCCCAAACAGGGCAGAGACCTTTGCAACTCTAGTCGAGCATCAGGGCACAGGAAGATGTAGAAGAGGGGATCCAGCAGAGTGTTGAGGCTGGTTAGACCGTAGCACAGGCGGTAGATGAGGAAAATGGAACGCTCCAGTCCACATGGCTCATCGGTCAGCAGCAAGGAGACGAACCTGTATCCGCCCACGAGGTGGTAGGGCCCGAAGACGACAATGAAATTGACGGTGATGACGACCAGGATGCCTACTATTTTGTGGCGCTCGTGGTCGGAGAGAGAAGGAGATCGACGGAGTGTCACCCCAATGTGGGCTGAGGTGTAGCTGAGGGAGGAAGCAGAGGTGTAGGTTAGAATTCAGACTGTTTGTCAGAATAGACAAAGTGACAGCGTGTCCCAGAGAGAAAGGAGAAACTGAGGTTTTCTTGTCAGCTGAAAGAAAGTACCTCAGTATCACAAGGATTTCCCTGATGTTCCCTGGTCTACATTCACTCCATGTTTTCAGATGATACCAGACAAATTCCTAATATGTTTAGTGTATTATTTCAAATATTGAAAATTTGAAATGTGAAAGAAGTTCTTGGAGAAAGTTGACTCATTTGACACAGAACAGAATCTTTACATGGACAGGTTTGCAGACACTAGGAACATCCTAACTGATAGCTTGGGGTCAACTCACCCTAGTATGGTACATGGCAGCAGAAAACCAAGGACCACAGTGGTGATCTTGAAGTGGGCGTATCTGGGACTGACGGGGTACTGCTCCAGGCACAGCAGTCTCTCAGAGTCAAACACTGACGGCAGCAGCCCACACAGACAGAACAGGAAGGTGAGGGTCCAGACCGCTACACCTAACATTGCCGCCACCCTGACAGTCCGCACCCTGCGGCTGCTCAGCGGGTACACGATGGCCAGGCAGCGGTCCAGCGCTATCAGGCACAGGAACATGACGCTGGCGTAGACGTTGACATAAAACACGTAGCCGACCAACTCACAGGTCAGCTGGCCGTAGGGCCAGCGGTGCGCACCCTGGAGGTAAAGGATCCACAGTGGGAGGGTGAGCAGCTGCAGGAGATCTGACAGCAGCAGGTTGAGGATGTAGACCAGCTGGCAGCCTCCCCCGCCTGAGCGACCCAGTTGGTACAGTCCCCAGAGAGACAGCAGGTTGCTGGGGAGACCCAAAGAGAAGATCAGGCCGTAGATACAGGTCAGGCCGAACGTGTCCGTGTCCAAGGGGAGGTTGCAGCTGTCATTGGACATGTCTCTGCCTGACATGGGAGAGTAGAGGAGACCTCACTCAGACGTGGACTGACACTCGCAGGTTGACGAGTTGGTGTAGAAATACCCATTCATAAACTCAAAGCAAAAGAAAAAACAAAAAGTCTCAGTCTGACTCATCTAATTGTCCATTGTGTAGTATTCAGAAATGCATTCTCCTCTGCAGGTCATCTCCAGGTTTTGTGCTGTCAGCCGGCCAGTCATAAAAGCATCCAGGATCCATCAGGGGAAAAAAACACCTGCAAAGCAGACAGCATGTGCATTCTCAGATGGTTTACTATCAGCAGGTGCATAGGGAATTAGACCATATAACAGTCTTTCCACTCACCTCTCTAAGCTGTGAGACCGACTTTGCTCCACTGAAGCTCGCTGCCCGCTCTGCGGCTCGGTGACCTGTGCTCAAGAAATGTTGGGAACACGGTGTCTCGACCAAGCCTTGTCTATTCTGCGATCGTTTCCTCCACAGGAAACCCACTTCTTCAGCTTTAAAGGCAACATCCTGAGGCAGGAGAACGCCTTTCTGCCCCAGAACAAAAACATACACTCTCTCCTTCTCTTACTCCAGTAGTAGAGAGGATGATTGAGGTGACCAGGGGCTGGGAGGGGAGGAACTACTATACGGTGTCCACTAATGCCCTTTAGATTGTCGCTTGCTGGCTCTGTGCCTTTAAACACATGAAACACATTAACCCTTCTGTTATATGCTGCCTTCAAGCATGCTTTTCAACACATTGGAATATTGTTTCTACTATGTAAGTGTGCAGGAATTTCATTTCGCAGCTTTAGGTGTGTTTTAAAACTAAACAGAGAATTACATTTCTGTGTGTGTGTGTGTGTGTGTGTGTGTGTGTGTGTGTGTCTGGTTGTGTGGGTGTGTGTGTGTGTGCGCACAGTTTGTGTTAAGGAAACATGAATCTGTTCATATGACCGCATTATGGGGACTCAAAAAGTAGGTTTCCTCGAAGTAAACCATCAAATGTATGTTGCGTGTGTGTGTGTTAGGTTTGGGGTCAAGGTTGCAGGAGGCTTAGTCTCTGGAGAATGAGTGCAAGTGTATGAGTGCAAGTGCATGCAACGCCTTCCTAAAGGACGAAACCAAGAAGCTGTGTGTGTGAGTGCACACGTCTGATTTGCAAGAGAGAATCGATAGACGGAAGAGATTAGAACCACAGAAAGGAAGAGCAGATTACCAACCCTGTAGTGTGACAGATTAAAGCAAAACATTTTCACTCCCCCAGAAATGATATAATTGCTACTGTTTGTAGACGGTGAACATTTATTAAATTCACCCAGGATTCATTTTTCTCAAGCAGCACGGGGAGAAAAACATCTAACACAATTGAAATTGTGTGGCTGAAGAATGGGTATGTTGAGACAATGGGTGTAAGGCAGTATTTTTACAACATGGTTTCAAAGGGAGGAGGGTCTTATCACTCACTTTGTTTCCTTTAAATGCCACCGATCTGTGATTTATTGAATAACCCGCTATTAAGCAGACCAGTCCCCGGAGACATTACCAGCACCCTACGCTCGCCAGAACTCCGCATAAAGGTCTCCGTGCCCCTGCGTAGATCACTGTGAGGAGACACATATCAGCTGTGCACTGCACAAACAGAAAATCAGTTGCAGGGGGAAGTGTTCCTGGAGAAGGGCCCAGCAGAGAGGCAGAATGATAAGTTGTTCCTGCAGCAGGCTGGCTGCACACTGCAGGAAGTCCTCTGTTCTGTACAGGAATGGCCATGAAAGAAGGAGCCGTACATACTGTATGCACATGGAGAGATGGGGATGAAGTCACTGCCATGTGAGCTCCATCAGCCTTGAGCCGTGAGAACCTGCATCAGTCAGTAAAAACAGGGTCAGAGCTTAAATTCCTGAGTCTGGCTGCCACGACAGAGTTATGCAAAATGAAGATCATACAGGAAGCTGCAGTGTGAAAGACTGGCAGTCTCATTGCTGCATCTGCCTGTCACTTAAAAAGTCACTGCACAAGTTTGTGGTTATGGTATTTGCATGAAGACAAAGTCTGGCCGATCACCTGTCACATGGCTAGTAATAAACGGTAAACTGCTTCAGAGTGCTTCGGTAAACAACTACAATGCAACATTCATTTTAATATATGTTCTGTCTTTCAATATCTACTTGTTAACTCTCCTTGGAAGCTCTGGGAGAAACAGATATGAAGTTACATAGTAATTACTGAAGCTCCCATTTCCCACTGCTGCAACCAGTTTAGCATCATCACCCTAAACACTTCATCTGGGGCCCTCTGGCTCTGTGGAATAAGACATGGATACCGACACACTTTGCCGATCACTGAACAAAAATTAGATTTTACTCTTTATTTTTATTTTAATGTTTATTTTACCTTTTTCTTTTCTTATTACATTTCTGTGTGTGTGTGTGTGTGTGTGTGTGTGTGTGTGTGTGTGTGTGTGTGTGTGTGTGTGTGTGTGTCCATTGGCAAATGTGGCCTGCCACAGAGGTGGTTTGTGGTTATTATTTTGTAGGCATCTAGATACAGACACAAAACTTTACTCGTGTAGTTTAGATCAAAGTAAAGGGTGCGATCTGCTCGACGCCATGGCTGCTGTGATCCCACCGCCAGATGGTCTCTGGTTTAATTCCAAACCGGCTTGTAAAGGACATTTTAGCAGAATATGGTGAAACATCTTCAGCTCTGCTGCCGGTTTCATTTCTACTACTTTTTCTCCTCGGTGCCTGAGCTCTGTTTGACCTTGCCTGAGGTTTTTCTCCAAATGTAGCAGCTAAAAAAAAAAAGAAAAAACACCATGCTGTCACATATGTTTGTGGTTTGCAGTACTGAACTCAATGATCTTGTGACAAGCCCTGTTTTCAATTACAGTCTCTTTAAAGGTTGATATTATGTTGATAGAATCTTGATATATAAGCACACACTGTGCTTAAGTAAAAGTACAGTTGTTATAATACAGTTATACAGGGATTCATTTCTTTATAATTACAAAGCTACTCACATTTATCAGCACAAAAAAAAAAAATATGAGCCCTAGAAAAGATTAAAAACAAAAATATAATAGTGCTCCAGTGTTTTAGATTTTAGATTTTGTCTGTACACAGTCCACATGAGCTCTCACTAGGTTCTTCTTCAGGCATATCGCTTGTTAGTCATACAGGAAGTGGGCAAAACTAATCATAAACTCACCGTGATCAGGTTTTCAGGTGGAGGCTGTCAAGGTTTTTAGTTAATATGGGAGTGATGCAATGATGTACCACGCTGCTATTGTCAGGAGGAAGAAGTCCTTTGCTTTATTAAAGTTTGACATGTTTCCAATCCAAACAGAACTACAACTATGGAAACTAGCTTTGAAAAATAGTGTTTATGACTGGGAAGCTTGAAAACAGAGGGTTTGAGCAGAATTGGATTGGAATTGGAATTGGGGTTTTTCCTCCAACATCTTTGGTAAAAACATTTCTATTAGTGCTTGCGTCTAAAATAAACATTTTGCACTAATTTACAGTTTCAGATTTTTGTTTTCTGAAAAGTTTAAAGCATGAGGCAGAAATGTGTGTAAACTGTAAATAAGTCTCAGCTGCTCTTTAACTCATATGGATGCTTGAGTGGTAATGATTTATTGAACTGAAAAACACTTGGTGGTTATGTTTGAATCCGTCACTCTGCTTTCATCTTTCTCCTGAACCTCCGGCAGCAGAGAATCTGACAGACTAAGACTGAAACCCAGACAAAGGCTCCGATGACGGCCGTGATTAAAAGAGCCACATCCAGGCAGAAGTAGGAGTACCAAGGCAGACTGAAACCTGCCGCCTGCAGATGAGCTGCTCCTTTGTTCCTGATGACGTACTCAATCCAAAAAATGGCGGTGTCCATCGGAGACATCGGCCGGTCGTGATGTAGCTTGGAGAGACGCTGAATGTTGCTTCGGTATGAGGGAGTGTCCAGGATGTCCTTTAGAGCCTCGAGGAAGTCTTCCTTGGTGACTGAATTCACCTCCACCGTCTGTGCTGCCCCGCGCACCTTCAGCCGGTGCAGGTTGTCAAACTGGTCAAAGAGGAGCGGCAGGCCCACAACGGGAACACCGTGGTAGATAGACTCATACATCCCGTTGGTGCCTCCGTGGGCCACAAAGGCACGAGTCTTGGGGTGTCCCAGGATATCGTTCTGAGGCAGCCATTTTACCAGCAGAGTGTTGTTCCCCAGGGACGACGGCTTTTCCCCCACAAATCTCCACACCACCTTCTGAGGGAGTTCTGCAAAAGCAGCGGCGATGGCCTCCGTGACATCAGGAGGCAGGGCTGACACGAACGTCCCCAGGGACATGACCACCACGCCGTGCTCCCCAGAGCTCTGCATGAAGGCCTCCAGCTCAGCAGGGAGGGGTCTGGCCTCCTTGCACTGGAACCCCCCTATGTAGACCACATTGGGCATGGTGGGCCGCGGGAACTCGAAGACAAAGTCCGCCCTCACTAGCCAGATATCAGCTGCATACTCCAAAGACAGCAAGTCCGTTCCAGGAGGGAAGTGGCGCTGGAGCAGATCCGAGTAGGCGGCGTTGATGATAAAATGCTGCTCGACAAGACTGAAGAGATAATGCAACACATTCTTGGTCCTCTCCGGAAAATCCATCCGATCCTGAAGTTCAGTTCCTTGCACGGGGATATAAGAGACAGGAGAGGGAGCTATGGTGAAATGGCTTTCCCCAGTATTAATCCAGCGCACGTTGAAAACCATGGGCAGCTTGAGGTAACTACCCAAAAGGACTCCTATAGTCAGGCCAGGGTCTGTTAACATTAGGTCAAACTTGGCATCCTTCAGCTTCTTCATGAAAACAGGGTCATCCAACATTGTAGCAGCTGCTCTGGCGAGGATCTTGTGGCCCTTTGCCAACATGGATGTGAGTAAGCGCCGTTGGCAGAAGCTGCGTAAGAAATTCAGCGACTTGCGGCACTCCATCACGTTTTGTAGCATTTTATTGTAGTAGTCCTTGTCCGACTCGTCCTCCAGCATGGTCACGTTAATAGAGGTATAAATGGGAGACTGACTGGGAACGTACCAGCTCTTGGCCGAGCGCAGCACGGTGATTTCGTGGCCTCTGGAGTGCAGCTCTCGGAGGATCACCTCCATGTTGATCCAGTGGCTGCCATCAACGGGCACCACCAGAATCCTGCTGCCGCTGCAACAACTGGGTGTGAGCAGCAGGAAGCAGAGCCCTGTCAGGAGTATGGGGATTGTGCTGGACATGACCTGGGAGAAACAACAGACAGAAATGATTAGACTTGTAAATACATCACTGTCTGTCTGAACCTGAAACAACATCTGTAATTTGTGCTGTGTAATAATATCTAAGATGTGGTTCAGTAGTAAGTTGTGTTTGACAGGAGCAGAGATCAGAATCTTCATATCACGAGACCAGGCGTGATATGAAGTTTTCCACAATTCATTTTCTATGGAATGCAAACGAATTGCATTGCAGGGCATTTTGGGGAAGAGGGAGTAAATGAGGAAATGAACAACATCTTCCTGCCTGTTCCACAATGATTTACAGAACTGCAAAACTGGCAACGAGACAGTGATGAAGTGCTGAGTCAAGAAGGTTAGTCTTCACCTGTTGTGGTCTGTGGAGGAGAAGATCAGTATTTTAGTGAGGGGTCCCTTTTTGTATGTCTCTTACCTCTGGGATTACAGATACACACTATAATCATTTATATGTTATATTATATTATATTGTTATATAAATATACATATGTATACAGTGACCCACAGCAACAAGCAAGAAAAGGCAAAGTTAATGTCACAGTATTTGTTTGTTTTCCCGTTCTCTTCTACTCTAGCCAAGCTGTTCCACATGTGGTCTGTTCAGCAGCATTTTTAAACATATGCACTTCAGAAATGTGACCATCAAAAGTATTTTCTTAGCCACTTGTTCCGCTCAGGGTCACAGGGGGCTGGAGGCTGTTCCAGCACAGCAAGAAGCACTATAAATGTTGTAAAAATGTATTTTATAAACAGTATAATCATATCTGATCTGATTGTATTTAATGCGGTACTAGTTGAAGCCGGTGTAATTAAATTGCTCTGTTAAAAGTTAATCACGTGTCTCACCTCGTTCTTGCTGTATCAAAATCCAGAAATCTGTCTTGAGCTCCAGGTCCTGAGTGAGCCAGGACTATGTGGTATCTGTGTTTCCACACAGCTTAACTTTTACACACATGGGCCCCATTTGTCCAGGACAAAGTCCAGTGTGCGGATCAGATGTAACTTACAAAGGTCTAAAGTGTTGTAAATAGCCAAGCTTGATGTTAAGAGCACTGGTATGAGTTACCATACTAGTGTGCGTATTGGATATCAGTTATGGCTTTGTCAATGGAGTTACCCCACGTTTTACATTTATCTTAAAAATGTCAAGTCATTTCAATATTTCCTGTCTTTCCATTCACATGTCCACTCATGTAACAGAATCAGTACAAGATAAAGTTATCAGATGGACTTGAATGGCTTCTTTTTTTTTTGCCCAATCAATGGGTTGCTTTTGTGTGTGTGTGTCAGTGCAAAGTTACTGCTCAGTTCATTCCCTGCTCAGCTCAACACTGCTGCTAGATTCCCACGTGAGCGCTCACAGGCAACTCTCACTTGCTGCCTTCCCATGCTCATGAGGCAGAGGATAAAAATGCAGTTAATCCATCTGAGCTGGATGAGGAAACTTGACAGAGAACAGGGGTAAAATTCAGGGAAGCATGAGACGGGAGTGGCAGAGAAGGAGGGAAGGAGGAAGTAGCGAGGTCACACAGCGGAGGGAAAATAAAGTGAACATGGGTGATTACAATAACGGCACGACTCACCGTTCAACAGTCATATCAGTGGACTGCACCCTTCCCCTCCTCTCCTCTTGCCTCTGTGGAGTTATGTAAAGCTGAGTCTGCGAACAAGAGTCGGCTAGAGGTAACAGCAGAGCACAGAGATGAGGACATGCAGCTCGTGGATGAATACAGAACATTTACCACAGTGATACAGCTGAAAAAGTCGACTGAAGTCCATTAGGTTGCTACATTTCTTTTGCTCCCTCGCCTCAATGGCTAACAAGAGCTAATGTTTCAGATCAGTCTTATTGTATCGTGAGTTATGAGAATTACCTTTCAAAAAGTCCCCAGAGCAGCCATCTTATCCAAAAAAAAAAGAATAAGATGCATTAATGATCACTGCTATGTACAGTGAGAGTGTAGCAGTAACCTCTGAGAGCAGCTCAAGCATCACATGATTAGTCAGATGTCCAGTCAGAGCAGGAGCAGCCAATCAGATGCAAAGATTTCATCTCACAGCACTTCTGTCCCACAAATCAGTTTGTAAAAAAAAAAAATTAAAAAAACATGCATTTTCTCTTCATGTATGAGATCTTTAATGTCTCCAATAGTATTTAATAAGTATTACCAACTATATAAATTGTTGAATTATAAGAATTGGAAAAGCTGAACTGAAGAAAGAGTGAAATCTGCTGCTGTTAGAGAAGGTAAAGGTCAGAAAAAAAAGAGAAAAAAAAAAACATAAGAAAGGGAAGAATCACACTGACACGCACAGAGTCTGGAAACAATGCCAGCTTTATCATTTTTGCTTGCACCCCGCAACAGTGCAAACCAGCGGCCTACGTCCTACCGAAAGGGCATTTGACATCTTACAGCAAAGCCACAACTGCAGCTGGTAGGATAAAACTATTACATCATAGTAATCAAGAATTAATGTGAAAGATTTTTTTTTCATTTAAGTCCCAAATTTCCCATTTAGCTGTTTTTTTTAAAGGTTCCATACTGTACACTGATCTGGTGTTGAGTGTTGATCCATAAGAAGATATATTTGCTCAGTGTAGTTTTATATCTCCTCTCTCAGGCTTCTCTCTGCAGAAAACAAAATCCTGCAAGGTTAGATGGTGGGTCCAGGTGGGCGGGGCTTGGGACATGACCTAAATATACCTACCTAAATATGGGACCTTTAATTAGGAGCCCAGATAACAGAATAATATAAAGTAGTCAGCTGACCAAACAGTGTTAGTAGGCAGTTTAATAAATGAGGGCCCATATTTATTTATTTTTATCTATTTATTTACTTGAAATAGTGCTTAGACATTTTTAAATTTTTTGAACTAAAAATAGTCCCTACCTCAGAGCAGGACATGAGAGCTATTCCTATTCATCACAGCAAAACAAAATAAAACTGATCACGACTTCAGCTGCAGATTCAACACAAAGGCTCAGAGATGATTTGATGCAGGTTAAGTGAAATGAATGACAAAGATAACATAATGTATTTAAGATCAGCAGAAATTATACATCACTTAAAAAGGGCTTTATCGAAAGTGTTATCATGTTATTTGGAGTTTGTAAGTTTTGTCTGTGGAGTCCTGGGAGTTTTATCAGTATCTGTCAGTCATCTTAATTATATACTGGACTGTTCGCACGTATCATTTTCCACCTGCTGCCAAACAGGTTAGGACAGCTCCGTAGATGTGATAAGATGACGTGCCTGGACTAGGAAAGCTGATAAAATTCTTTTACATCTCAGTCTAAAAGTATATCCAAACATGCATCAGTGTGACTTGTCTAAGTCACAACTGATTTTTGAGATTAGAGAGATTAGAGACCAAAAAAAAAATATAGAAATCGGTAGAGAACAACAGGTTGCATGGCGCTGGAGGTCACGACCTCTTAAGGAATGGCTGAGATCATTGGCTGAGAGGTGATGACTGCGGGCTGGATGTGCATTTGCTGGGCACCTATGTACGCTGGCTGGGAGGTGAGGACAGCGAGAGTCAGCCTGCGTCTCTTTATCTCTCTGGCCATCTGGCACCATGAGCAGACATTGAAGAAATAGGAATACACACAGTCAGATCCCATGTCTCCCTGAGCAGAGACACACAAAATGGAAAGAAAGTAACAGCTGTTAATATATATATAAAAAAGACCTGGCGAAGTTTTCCCTTTATCTAAACTCACCTGGATTTTGTAGTGGTAGCGCATGGCCACTCTCATGGACATGGAGACAACTGGACACAAGGTGATCATGTCCATCAGGGGGAGACAAAAACACTCTCCAAAGTAAGCGGTGGTGGCGCAGGCGAGGCAAGGGAAGCACCAGAAGCCAGAGCAACCTGGAACGAGGCACAGATGATAACAGGCCCTATCTCGAGAGGCAGTAACAGCTCCTTTATCGTGATTCTAAATAGGCCCGGTAATTTTGGAAAACATTTCAGATTTCAGATTTCAGATTTATGTTTAGAGCATTCGAAACTGGTCTACATGTAGAAGGAAAAACTGCTTCTCGGGATTTATGTGCTAAGGTTTAAAAGGCAACTTCAAACTTGATGCTGAGACGTTTGCTATATGAAAATATATACTGAACTATGGAAGCCTGTCTTTGCATTTTTTTAAACCAGTCTGCTTTTTATTGTCCATGAATATTGATCACATTTTATTCTGGTTGTGCACAGTTTTTCTTCAAATTGAATCAGAAGGGTCCAATATTTTACACTTTTCTTGCGTTTTATTTGAAGTTTTGTCCATAAGAAGATATATTTGTGGTTTTAAAGGTTCTGTAAATTATTTTAAACAATAATATAGCAGCAAACAACTATCAACAACTAGTGCAGTAAGCAGCGTTCAGGTGCTCCACTGATTCTTATGTTATTCGGCTAAAAACGCCTCCAACAAAGAAAGAGAGAAGACCAGAGCAGAGGCGGACTGGCCATGAGGCGGACTGGCTGAAATCCCGGTCGGGTGGTGGACCGTGAAAACATGACTCCTAGCGTGGGCTAATGGTTGTGGTTAGATTGGGGTTTTTTTTGTCTGTTCCTGTGTGCATGGTAACTATATTCAGTTGTATTTTCTTGTTTTGTGTTTAGTGGCCACTTTCGCTGTGCTCCGTAAGACCTTGCTGACTGACAATGTGAAAGGAAGGGAGGGGGGGTTGTGGCCAAACAGAGGTCGGAGTTGTGTCTTACGAAACATTTGTTTTGTTCGGAGATGCTGGTGGTCTGGTGCCACATCTAGTGGCCTTTAAGTAATGAATGTAGTTTAACATCTCCTCTCTCAGACTTTTCTCCAGAGTTCTAGGTGGGTGCGGGTGGGTGGGGTTTGGGGCTAGGGCTGAGGGCGGTGACTGCTTTGTTGTTACATCACAAAGTTACAGAAGTCCTGACGGCTTGTTTTCAGGCTCAGTTTCTGAATACAGGCTGTGTGCATTCCTGTGGACTGAGCGCTTTGATACTTTCACAGTATTAATATAGAACCTAGACCTGCTTTATAATCAAAAAAGACATGGACATCTACCTTTATACAATATGGGACCTTTAATGTAGGGCTGTAGTCTGTTATCTATTAATTGTCTCAGCCATAAAGATCAGAATTTTATAAGCAAATTGCAACTAATTGTGGCTTGTCATCACAACAGAATACATAATGTTGACATTTCTCCACTTCAGTAATCTGGACTACAGCTCTAGTTTAAAGTAAGCTCAAGAGTCCAGACTGAAATGTCACTATTTGCATGCACCGGTGAAAGGCGTTGTAGTGAGAGAACTGCAAAATGTGGCTGCACAGAACCAGACTCACAGATTTGAAGATCATCGAAGCAGTCACAGATCCCAGTGCTCCACTGAGTAGACTGGACAGCGACCAGCGTTGGAGGCTGAGGCTGAGGCTGAGGCTGAGGCGGCTGGTTGTTGATGATCAAATTTGTTGTCATGGCGACCACTCAAATCAGGAAGGCCTGAAAGTGCAAACAAGTATTTCTATTTTTCCTCGTGGGATTCTGTCTACATTCACTGCACCTTTTCAAAGTTGACCTCGAGCCCAAATATCTTAACAAAGCTCCCCAGACGCTCGCCGCTTCAAAACCTTTCCTTCCTTCAATTGTTCCGCGTCATGATATGGTTCATTTCAACCCCCATCACACTGTTCACACCATTTACTCACATACCTGGCATGTTTTATCACTCGGTGACAGCTGTTTACAATTAATCAAAACACATTTCTGCACGAATTTCACATGAACCTGAAGTTCGTGTTCATAATATAAACTGACTCATACAGCATCTTCACACGGGTACTAGAAAATCCAGCCCACTGCCTTCTAATACAGTAATACAGACTTTAATTTCATAAACACTCACCTGCCGTTGGAACTTCTTTGTCGCGTTGGAACATCTGGTTTGAACACACGGAGCAAAAAGTGGATATTGGATGCTTCAAGGCACGGCCTAACTGGCAGATTTGCATGTGTGGTTTGCATAGGACACTGCACACTGAGATTTACTGTGATGACCTTCACACAGGCTTTGATGAGTCAGAGTTTTATTGCACTGTTCTAGTGGACTCACATGTAGTCGCTATGTTCTAAATACAAAATAGGCTTCTAAATTATCTGGGCGCATTGTATGGCTCCAAAAATCCCAATGTATGATTTAATGAGTTTCCTCCTTGGCTTTTCATATAACGAATGAAAATAAGCCAATTTATAGTTAAACACATACTTCGGAAGGATAACAATCAATCCAATGGATCATGCAATTAAAGAAACACATGTAACGAACATCTGGGATGTGACAGGCGAAGTATAAGAATAAAAAAAAACCCAATTTAAATTTTAAGATAATCAACAATGCAGTTATATCATTGTCACTGGCTGGTGCTCATTAATATCTGCCAGTGGATGTCACTGTGGCTGCTTATCTCTGTCATTACAGTAAATTATGAAACATTTGTGACCCTCATGTGCTGATCTCTAATCAGCTGCTTTGTGACATTCCACAGCAGCAGACCTGCTCAGAAACACAGGTCAGTTGGCCCGAGCGGCCCTCCCCTCTTATTCCAAATAGCATGACAACGCTGATGATGAAGAACATAGTCCCTGATGATGGTAGTGATGTTTGTTTTCTACTACTGATGACATGATGATAAAAAAAAAGTCTTTGTTCTTATCAGGCTGACATGTTGACGAAGGTAATGGGGCTCGACCTTGTTTTGATTTCTCTTGCTATTTGACACCAGGTGCAGGGCCCGCAGAAGAAGGCGTACACGCAGTCTTTGCAGACTGTGCCCTGTGGGGAAGGAGACACAGTTAGAGGCGGCCGGAGCGATGAAACATGCGCAAGTACAACAGTCATGGGATAAAACGAATGCATCCAATACTAGATTTTTTGCTTAAAGTCTCCCTAGACATATCTGCTGGAACAAAGGGACAGGGTGTAATGTGACCGTCTTTAATGACCAATCCTTCATGAATTCCCGGATGTTGTCCAGGAACGTAAATAGAGATTGTGACGAAGAGCTAAACAGGTTTAAGAGTCATCAGAGATCAGATAAGCAGTGAAGGCAACAGTGACTTTTATGCTGGTAAACACTATGCTCGTAAATATTGATGCAGTTGAGGAGCATGTTATGTAACGTATGACATATGTAAGAGGATGTATTATTATCATATATATACATCCCCTGGATACATGAAAATATAAGTTTATAATATATATGAAATACCGATAAAATATCTATATGATGAATATAACATGTTGCAACCAACATGTTGTTAATGATATATATTTAACTTATAAATGCAAGTTCATTAAAACATACACACAATACAATTTGTCATTAATTTTGATACACACATAAACATACATATTTGTATGGGCTAGACATATGTAAATATATGAAATTGTTCCGATTTCTAATACAACACATATATGTTGATGTACTTATATTTCATATATGTAAATTCAGTGTGTACATATATTATATTTGCATATGGGATTTACACCCAAAAAAAAGAATAATGAATGGGGGTTTAGGATAGTGTAGCATAGTGTCTGTACCTCAATGCCATATCTCTGGCGCACTGACACCCTGAGGGCTGTGGTCATAGGTGGGATGAGTCCAAAGGCGTCCAGCAGAGGTAAACACAGACACTCCCCGGCCTCGTGTGCGGTCTTACAGGTGAAGCAGGGAAGGCACCAAAAGGCCAGGCAGCCTGCAAAAAGGGCAGGCAAGCAGGTCACATCAGGGGTAGTAATGTGCTCATGCAGGAGATTTCATGGACACTTGAGGTCGTGTCCAAATATCCCCTTTTTGAAATCTAAAGCACAATACTTTGCTACATCCGCTGACCTCCAATCTGCCAATCTGTCGGCATTCCTTCACTTAGATCAGTCTGAATGATCAGCATGTTTTTCAACGTTCATGCACGAGACACAGATTCAGACGGCGAGTGCTTGTCTCAACACGAGGACTACTACTACTGCTATCTCTCCTTTTACCCCAATCTAAAAATGTGTATATAAAACATGTGCACTCACACTGGGGCAGGTCTTGGAAGCAGTCACAGATGCCAGACGTCCACTGGTTGGATACAGTGGTCATGATGTAGGGCCGGGGTTGGGTCACGACCATATTTTTAGACATGGCTACAGCTTCTAAAGAAAACATTCAGTCGTGATTCCGACAGAGGCTTTTCTTGCCAAACAGTGAATGACAGAATAAACTTGACAAAGCTATATAGTATTAGTGGCCTGTTCAGTTGGATACTCATTGTCTGGTGAAATCTAGCGTCGTGATTTATGCCAAATAAGTACATGCTGTAAATGTCCTTTTGTGGTTTGCGCAATTTTTTTCTACATCTTCTTTCAAACTGACTGGGTTATTTCAAATGTGCACTGTCAAAGAAGAAGGGTTTCTTTCTTAGTTCCTCAAAGCAGACACTGTTTCCTTCTGACAGCAGAAACATTTCATTTGAAGCAGACAGTCACCTTTACATGAATATAATAATAATTATCATGAGTATAATGATCCTATATTATTATTTTATTGTATTACTGATTTTTTTTATTTGATTATTATTATTATAAAGACGTTCATCATATATTTGCTATGACATTATTATCATTATTATTATTATTAATATTATCATTGTATAATAATGTAACCTGTAACTGTCTTACTTTATGTCAACCGTCCTTCTATTATGTTTTATGATTTCCAAGTCACCATGTGTCTTCCATCTCATTTTCTGTTTGTCATGTTATTAAAAAATAAATAAATAAAGAAGCAGAAAGTCACTTCTTTGTCCATTATGGCATCTAGGTGTGATTCTGGTCAATATGTCATTATTTTTCACACATACTGAATGATTATACCACAGTGTAATAAATTAATGTCTTTTTTCTCAGTACTTTAGAAAAGCTCCTCATTTTGAGAATTTGCATGAGTGTTTTCTGTGTGATTTCTCTGGAATACAAAATAGAGGCTGAACATGAGATTAGATGTCACAAATTCACAGCTCAGATTTTCAGTTTCTATCTTTAAGAGTGATGCACATTGAGAATTATCTACTAAACCGTCCTACATCTTGAGAACTGACTTTTTCTAAGAAGTAGAAACTTCATTTTCACAAGAAGTACAGACTTGGTGGCGGATGGAATGGTCTTAAAGAGTTTATCTACTTCTGTATACTGAAGAGTTTTATAAATTCACGAGTTGCAGAATTTCCTTCACAGTTACAGCATCATGTATTTTTTCACTTCAAGTTACAACACAAAAGTCACACGAAAGCCCATGATCATGTGAGACTCCAGATGAGCCCATAGCCATTTCTTAAGCCATGTCCATTGCCAAAAATTGAAAACATACATGTAACCTGGAAATGTTTAGGCCTGCAGGATGCCAGTATTCCTGTCATGGCTCTAATTCTCCCTCACTAAGTGGATGGTCTTACCTTGCTTTCCTGAGGGAGCAGAGTTTGGTCAAATCTGAAACTTGGCTGACTGAGGACTCTGTAAGACAGTGTGGCATCTTATAGGAGCGGTGAACATGACAGGGGATGCCTGTCACTTACTGGTCTGTCCAGTCTGCCGTGTGTCAACACCTCTGACAGTCAGACATCAGAGTATCTGTCCGTCTCGCATCCTTTTAAATCTCAGATGTCATCATGCCAGAAAAATGACCTCATATTTAAAGTGTGCGAGTCAGTTCTTAGACATAGGTATGTGATAAGAACAAAAGGGAATGTCCTGCAGTGTTCATCCCCTCAGTGACACGTGGCTCTGTGCCTTTTGTTTGAACGGTTCAAAGGTCCTCGTCACATTCGCTGAGAAGTTGTTGATCCTGCCATTTCCTTGGATTCACATCTCCCTATTGTTTTCGCAACATGGATGTTTTATTAGATTTCATTCAAACAATTCAACACAAAATATTTGGATTTTCTATCTGAACCACGAGACCAGAGCAGCTGGAAGGACTCGGGTGGGAAATGGAGTAATGGCACAAGTTAAACCGGAACATTTCTGAATAATCATAAGGTTTTCAAGATTTGCAGAAGTTGTTCCAAATGTCAACAAGTTGGACTGTTAACAAAAGTAGCATATGATGTCACTGATTTGTAGCAAATGTCTTCATTGTTCAATGCAAAATGTACATAACCGATTGTTTAGTTACTTTAGATACAGTATGTTTGAACGATTAATTCTCAATCTGGTGTTGGACTAGGACTACTTGAAGTGATCAAGTGGTCCCAAGATAAATCTGAGGGGATGTAAGATGATTAAGTCAGTTATTTAAAGGCCCTATATTTTACAGTTTTCTGGTGTTTTATTTGAAGTGTTGATTCATGAGAAGATATTTGTGGTTTTAAGAACCAAAAACCATCTCAATATAGATTTACATCTCCTGTCTCAGGATTGTCTCTGGAGCTCTAGTAACGACAGAAGAGAGGAGGCTCTGAGCTCTGCTCCCCTGATTGGTTGAGTATTTTCTGAGTGGTTGAATAACAATATAGCAGAGTTCAGGTAAACATTCAGAGAAACCAAATCCTGCAAGGTTGGATGGTGGGTCGAGGTGGGCAGGGCTTGGGGCATGGCTGAGAGCAGTGCATGCTTTGTTGTGACATCACAAAGTTACAGAAGTCCTGACGGCTGGTTTTAAGGCTCAGTGTCTGAATACAGGCTGTGTGCATTTCTCTGTGGACTGAGCGCTTTGATTCTTTCACAGTATTAATATAGAACCTAGACCTGCTTTATAATCAAAGAAGACACGGACATCTCACTTTATAATATGGGACCTTTAACTAAGTTACTCTTAGAAGAGATATCCTTTGTGGAGCTGATAACAGCTCATAGACACTTGAAATGTTACAAGGGGCAACTGATTTTTGGAAGTGTAAAATCTTAATCTGAAAGGTAACTAGTAACTATGGCTGTCAAATAAATTTAATGGAGTAAAAAGCACAATATGTCACTCTGAATGCAGTTCATTAGAAGTATATAGTAGCATAAAGTTGAGATACACAAACCTCCAAACTGAACTTAAGTACAGTACAGGAGTAAATGGACTTAGTTACTTTCCACCACTGAAAGAATAAATGATTGGTAACCCAAGATAACATGCAAAACACCCCCTGCTCTAATAGACATTGTGTCCCTGCTGAATACTCTGAGGTAACAGGGAGCGGCTGCCGACCAGGGGAAGTGTGATTAAATCAGCTCCCATGCTCTGGAGGACTGGTGATGGCGGCCGAGGCCAGAAGAAAAGAAAAAAAGTGCTGGATGTGTCTAGACCAAGTGCGCCCCCTGCAGGGAGGTCAGAGCGGTGTATCTGGCTGACGAGGAGGAGGAGGAGGCGGCGTGGGATGCTGCTCTTCTCTTCAGCTCTCTGGAGATCTGGAGCCAAGATAGCGGATAGCAGCAGCATCCGTACAGGCAGTCGCTCCACACGCTCCCCTGTAACAGAGAGAGAGAGAGAGAGGTCTGAACACAGGTGGGAGGCTCAAACACAAGATGAACATTTGCATTTAGGTGCAAAATAAAGACTTTTTGCTGATACATACAATGCAGCAGTTCTGTCTTTTATTTGCCTTTATGAGCATATACTCACATCCTTTGTAATCAACAGTATTAGTTGAAGTTATTTGGACTAATTACACAAAAATGTTTGAAATTTTTATAGTTTTACTGCATTCCTTCCATGATAAATGTAAGATTGTGCTACAGAGGACCAAATTAAGTAAACACGCCAATAACCAAAGTGCAAAAACCAATGATGTATAGTAGTTTATGGCTGCTTGAAGTTATAGCTGGCAGTGTATTTGTCAGTGTATCAGTAATAATCAGGCTCTATCCTCCCTCTGAGGACATCGAGTTACTTGCGGCCAAGTCTCTGCTCTTAGCAACAGCAACCACGACGAGGAGCATGTCAGTAATGTCAAGATGGAAATGTTGGTGGGTGAGAATTGATAAATCAATAAAGTCTGAGAGACGCAGTAAGAAGGCAGGTGCTGGCAGTTGGATGTGCAGCCTGTGCATGTGATATTCCCTCCGTGATACTGAGTCAGCACCAATTATGCTTACATAATATCAACTTCTCAAAAGAAAACCAGCTTTCATTTTTGCTTGATCATAATGCAGTTAGGGGCTGGCGAAGTAGAGCAGTAGAGCGGTAATCAGAGGGTCAGTGGTTCAATTCCTGGCCTCTCAAGTGCGCATGTTGAAGTGTCCTTGGGCAAGATACTGAACCCTGGATGTATCCCCTATGTATCATCGGTGTGAGACTGTGTGTGAACGGGTGAATGTGGCTCATAATGAAAAGTGCTTTGACTAAGAGTAGATAAGCAATATATAAGTGCCATTTGTGACTTTTACCAAAAGGATGTCATGAAACATCTTGAATACAACCGTTCTGTGAATTTTAATTTAGCATAAACAACTACAATAATTCTCCACCCACAAACGTATTTGCAGGTCTTTCGATTTCAATGCAACTTTTTGATTCTGATTCAACTGTAGAGCAAAAACACCAAACACACTTGTTTTTGTTGAGCGGCAGATCTGCTCAGTCCAACACTCTTTCTACTGCGCTGCCTCCCCTGTGAATTCAGTGTGGGAGGGTGACATTAACTAAAATTATCAGTCTTGGGATCTGAATGCAACATGCAACATTTGTGACTTTAATTTTGCATGTACTATAAACATAAACAAAGAAAATATAGCAGTTCAAATCCTCATTTGCATATGTTGGAATGATTTATTGGTCCATTGGTCGTGTCTTTTGAATTATGTAAGACAGAACTGTCACCAGCCATGCTAACAGCTCTGTGAGGTTGTATTTACACCACGTTTGTGTGAAGTCGTAATTACAAGCAGCTGAGTGGGAAAACACATGTCACATCAGCGTCTGACTTGTAATTCTGAGTCAGATTTTATCAGGAGATATGTCAACAAACTGTTGGCAGAATGGCTCCAAATGCAGTTCTATCAAAAATAAATCCCATATTAACATTAGCCCAATTGATTCAGCTCAATTCATAGAAGCTAACCACTGTTTGTATCTGGTTTTACGTGGTAATAAACAAACAAATAACACAACAAAAGTAGCTAATTTAGGCTATTTATATGGTGTTACTACAAGGTTAGCACTAGAGCAAACAATGCATGAACACTCCCAAGTCAGAGCAAAGGGTGATTTTCTGGTTCTATTCTGCTGACATTGCATGAATAGGAGCTAAATGCTAACATCAGGAAGCTAACATACTTGGAAGGACAATGCTTAGATGCTGGTATTTAATGTTTACTATGTTCACCATTTTAGTTTAGCATGTTAGCATTTGCTATAATCACAAAGTACAGCAGAGGCTAATGGAAATGTTGTTAGTTTAACTAATATGTTGTCATAAGCCAAACCAAATTCAAACCACTCTGCTAGCATTGGTAAAAATGAACTCTAAAGACAATATTAGTTTCAGGAAATAAAGACAAGAAAATGTAATAATTTGCAGAGAAATATGATCTAGCACTAATTTATATCAAAATGGCTGCAGTAACGTGTCTGACTACAGTTTTATTCTCATGATAAACACTGTTTTATCGTCTCCGTCCGCCCGTGAGATGAATTGTTGCCTTGCTTTTCAAACAACCTACATGCTGGAACTTGTTTTCATAAGAACTTCTGTGCACCTTCCCTAGCTCATGCTCTGCAGTATTGACAGCGATCCACGGCCCACTCCACCTCCGGAGAAGCCAACATTACCAACCACCTCCTTCTCTCCGATGGCAGCGCTCCAGTTCCTGCCTGCCTGGCCTCCAACCACTCCCACCTCCTGCCTTATCTCTCCCTCTCTTCACTGTCCCAGAATCGGCTTATCAAACATCTAAACTCGCACCTTGGCCATGGAATATGCTGCTTGCATTTGAGTTTTTTAATGTGCACTGATCAGTGACGGAGACCTGATGTCTGCTGAGATCTGTGGTCGCACGTGTCGCAGGTGTATGAGTGCTCAGTGTGGACAAACAGCACAGCAGTGAAGGGGTGGGTGGGAGGCCTGAGCAGCTTGCTTGAGCTTAAAAGTTCTAACAGTTTGTTGTTTATTCATTAAGTTATTTATAGGTCTAGGACAGATTTATTCATTTAATAAACATATCCTGATTTCACTGCAACCTCAGTATACCTAAGGTTTATCTGATGTCACAGCATTAACAAAAAACTCTTTGCAATGCTGAAGTAATAAACAGTGTCATTACTGCTGGCATCTACCAATGCTGCATCTATTTCCCCACTGTGCCATTATTAAGTTTCATCACTGAAAAGTCTCCATCTCCTTAGCAGCAGTCATAATTATTCAAGGCTCCAGCTGCTCTGTGTAATTGAGCTGGGGAATCGGTGTCATACGAGCAAAGCAATCAGATGCATTGTTTGAGCTGGTGTTTATCACAGCATCTCAGCTACAGGGGCCACTCTTCTTGACTGAAAGAATTTAAAATGACAAGTTTAACTCTCACATTCCCTCCCCAAAGAGGAAAAGGTCTCAGAAAAACGCTAGTGTATTCAAGGTCGCTTTGTTTCTTCATTGAAGAAGAGTGATCAAAGCTACATCAGCTAAGCTGTCAAGGCTGTTAAACCAACTACTGTAACGGCAGTGTAGTGAAATGATATTAACACCACGGGCATTGCTTGAGCACAGTGACTGTCTAAGTGTAAACAGCTTTAATCTTTCCCATCTGAATGAATGTATTGTAAAGCTAAAGTAAAATAATGGAAGTCAATGTCCAAAAAATTCCAAATCCCTTTGTAAGGACAGACTGTCCTGCCAATGTAGTGTTTTATATTAAAGAATCTGCACCTTAATTACACAAAATGTACAGATGCATGACATATTAAAGGAAAAGTCTGAATAAATGACTGGAGAAACCTGATGCTAACTAGAAGCTCATATAGAAGGCTGATGATTAAAGTGATGGCTTTTACATTTACCAGATCTCAAACCAATTGAACACCATTTTGGAGAAACATGTTAAGCTAAAGAGGACACGTTAAAATCTTTTGGACGTTGTGTGTCACAACATGTTTTAATCACATTTTCCGTATGGTTTAAACATACAACCCTATATACTCACACTAAACAGATTGACTGGTTATAATGTTTATGCTCAAATAAACCCTTAAACCTGTTTTGCTTAGTGACAGTTCCAATCAAGGTTTAATCTAACTAGCTGTGACAGCTCTTTCAAATGTTTATTTTTCACTGCAGCCATGTGGGTGATCAAACTGCAAGACATCTTACCAAAACTTGTGTTATGACAGAAATCCATTCAGGCAATTAATCAGGTGTTGAAATCCCCTTCAAACCCATTCAAAGTGCATGTCTAACATTAGTCCAGGGAAACCAATCCAGGGTTAAAATAAGGCCTAATTTTTTTGAGGCCTTTGCACAGCTTTAAACTGCACTTACCGCCACAATTACTAAAGCATCAGATGAGGGAATATCTTTTGGAAAAATGTGGTTTATCCCACCATGGCAAATCTGGGACAGGGAATATTGAAACTGCTCTGGAGGCTCATGATGGAACAAAAACTTTACAATCAAGACATTCTATTACTGTAGTTTCTTAATGTGTTTTCCCACTCACCCAGTATTGTATCAAACCATGCAGATGCACCTTTATTTGTTGAATTTTTGTCATGCCTCCCAGACTTCTGCCACCATTCCAAAACAGTGGAGGTAAATGGAATTTTAAGTGTGTTCATTGCAAAATGGCATTTGAAAATCTCAGTGTCCCACAATCTGGTTGAGAGGTATGTTTTTTTGCATTTTTATCTTGTGTTATTTTTTGCTATGTATTACCTGTATACCATATCGCTCTCTGACAGAAGCCCTCATGGCGAGAGAGGCAGGCGGTACACAGCCGATGCAGTCCAGCAGAGGAAGGCAGGGACACGCACCCACTGCACTGGTCACCTTGCAAGTAAACACTGGGAGGCAGCACAGGGCAAAGCAGCCTGAACACACACACACACACACACACACACACAGTAGGTAAACTCACAGTACACAAAAATAATTCTTCATCATAAACAACGGTACAAAGTGCATTTTTTTCACTGTTATTCAGCATTAACAGTCAGATAGACAGTATATCCACTAAACGCTTGTGTCACTCTGTATACTTACAGTCCCCTATGTCTTTATGGCACTCACACAGGCCAGTGCTCCACTGACCCGCTTCATGAACCCTGCTCCCCGGCTGGACCTGGACCACCCGTCGAGACATAGTTCAACTGTCCATCCATGACCATAAAATAGAGGCAGGGGTCACAATTACCTCAAAATTATACTTAAGGACAGTAATTGATTCAGATTCAGACAACTTTATTTATCCCAAGAGGGGAAATACTTTTGCAGTTTACCCAGTCCATACACACAGCTTCAAAACTCACAGGCAAAGCTGTTATATGTCAGAGACGATCAGCATACATGGGCCAATACAAGGAACAAGCCGCAATAAGTAAAACAAATAAGAAAAATAGATAAAAATAACACATTATGTTACAGTTTCTATAGCAATTAAAGATATGAATACATATTAATTACACTGAGTAAATGTACTTTTAGTTTTAGTCACAATGCACCACTGAGGTTGGCTGATGTTTTTGGTTATTAGTTGGTTATTGCTTAGGTCAATAGCTCGTGATTTTACTTAAAAAAAAAAAAAAAAAGTAAAGTAGCCGGGAATTCAGGACGTAGTTATGTTTCCTCCAAAATATATATGGCAAAACAAATTACCAGTAAATAGAATTAACATTAGATCTGTAGGAGATTAAATGGATATCTGATGTAGTTGCATCCAAAGGAAACTCTGCTGGAAACGTTGTTGCTGCTGTAATCTATCCAGTTCAACTGCTCTACATGGGGCATTAAACTTTGCATCCGTGACCCATAATTCTTTGCCATAACTGAAGCCAACATCCACAGGAAACCACTATCTCAGTCAAAAGATAAGAACAACAATCCAGTGAGGAGCTCACTGAGAGCAAACTTCCACGCCCCTCTCGCTCAGGAAGGATTAAACACTGCTGTCTCCTGACCTGAGTTATTCTTTAGCTCTGCTCCTCCGCCACAAGCCAAACTCAGAGGAGAGAAAGATTTCCTTTGTACTGTGAATGGCTCAGAGACAGACTGCTGGACTCTCAAGAATGATTTACCTCCAACCTCTCTAGTGAAGTCTGACTAAAAATATGTAACCAGGCTTGTATTGATAAAGAATAGCTGACTTACCTGTTTAAGAGTTTAGTTATCAAAATCCTCGGAAAAGCAAGTCCAACTGTTGTCTGCTATGTTTGGCCTTTTCTGTCTTCTCACTCTCTGACTTTCACGTGTGTGTGTGTGTGTGTGTGTGCGTGTGCTCGTTGCTTGACTGCAGTGTTTTGGTGTAAATATGAAACCTTGAGATAAGATTGGTAAACAAGGCGCTCTGTTCCCATGAGTGCTGACCCACAGTATTCTGAGTCCTCAGAGACATATTAGCTGATGTTTAAAAGGATGTCAGTATTTGCTGACCTACAGAGGTAATTCCTCTCTATCAGTAAATGCCCCCTGTGGAAAAAGAAGCATTTTTGGTTTGACAGTTGCACCATTGGACATTACTAATCTGTAACAGTTGCGTAAGAGCCATGAGAAACCACAGAATGTCATCACACAAATCACCACTGAATGTCATCGGTTTTTTTTTGTGAGCTATGTTGATGTTTATCAGTCGTTCTCTTTTTTAGGATTCTGTTCAAAGATCTGGTAAAAAACACATAACCATCTATAATATATCATTATTGAATCATTTGAAGGGTTTCCAGAAATCCTTATCACTGAAGCAGCGCATAAAATAAATAAAAAAAATGCCTCTCCTGTGATATCTGATTTCTCAATGTCCTGATAGGAGTGAATAAAACAGAGGCTGGGAAAAACCTGTCCTATCAAGCGAAGCCTGTCTCCTCTTCCATGGGGGCTAGAGCTGACACATAGGATCATACAGCAGATTAACAAAGGAGACAGTCTTTGTGACTACAAGGCAGAGAGGTATCAGGACCTGATTATTTACAGTGTAAACCAACGAGCAGTATGTTTACATGCACAATAATATTCCACTATTATTCCGAATATTGTCATGTTTGGATAAACCGAATTAGATCTCATTCCAAATTTTAGATATGCCGCTATTATTCTACTTTTAGGAGCTTTCTTTGGACATGTAGACAGCGCTTTCAGAATATGTGTGTCAACTGGGGTTTTTACAGCAGTTTGGTAACACAGCATAGCTGCATGCATGGAATATTCTTTTTCATTCATGTAAACAGATTAGTAAAAATACTGTCTACACTAGGTTTTTTTGAAAACAAAGAGAAAAAGGTATTGGTTTATGTAATACATGCGAAAGACTTCACAACTAATGTAATTTGTATCACAATCATTACAGTAAATATAGCTTTAAGGCAATAGTTAAGCATTTTGGGAAAAAATTCACTTTTTTGCTTAGTCAAATAAACTATTGATATATAGTAGAATTGTAACTGGAACTAGAAGCTCAAAGCTAGCTAGCTGAAAGACTTGGTGCAGGGAAACAGCTATCTTAAAGGTTGCATGTTGTATAAAGGTAGATATCCATGTCTTCTTTGATTATAAAGCAGGTCTAGGTTCTATATTTATACTGTGAAAGTATCAAAGCGCTCAGTCCACAGAGAGATGCACACAGCCTGTATTGAGAAACTGAGCCTTAAAACGAACCGTTAGGACTTCTGTAACTTTGTGATGTCACAAATAAAGCGGTCACTGCTCTCAGCCTTGCCCAAGACCCGCCCACCAGGACCCAACCCACCCTGGATCCAACATTGCAGGATTTGGTTTCTCTGAGTGTTTACCTGAAATCGGCTTTACTTTTATTCGATCACTCAGCGGCCTTAAAGAGCGGCTCAGAGCCTCATTTGCTCTGAATGGCTCACCGACCTTTTGTTACTAGAGCTCCAGGGAGAAACCTGAGAGAGATGTAAAACTACACTGACATGGTCTTTGCTTCTTAAAACAATAAATATATCTTCTTATGGATCAACACTTCAAATAAAACAACAAATTTTACAACAAAAGTGTAAAATATGGGACCTTTAAGATATAGACACATGACAAATAACCCCCCAATAAAAAAAAAAGTTATTGTTGTTCTTACAGTTTGGTTCTTGTACAGATTAAATAAAGATATAGCCTAACAATGGTGAACTTTAGGAGTGCTGGGTTTTGTTACCTTTGGACAGAGGCAGAACTGCAAACAAAGAGGAAAACAATCACTGTTGTCAAAAATATGTCTTTATTTAAAATGTACAAAAGATCACAGATATCTATAGTATATTACAAGGATAATGTGATGTTACCTCATGTTGTGAGTGTTAGGTGACATAGTGATTTGATGTGTTGTTTTTCATGTGATGTGATGATTAACATCATGTGAGAATATGATAATAGATATTTCCTCCTCGTGCACAGTTCCACTCATTCACACCAGGGAGATTGGAAAACCAGGACGCCACAATGTGCAGGCTCCCTGTAACTCTGGAAACGCTAAAAATTAAGAGAGGAAACAAAATGAAAAAGAATGGCAACATTACACATTAAACATCTTTACTGAATATTCACACAGACCCACGCACAATTACATTTCACTTACTGTGTTGGTTTGTTTTGCTGCAGAGGCATTTGATCAGATCTTCATGGTTTGTGGGTAATCGCGGGGAGCGACACTTTATCTTGCCAATGGGAGAAACTGCAATGAGAACAGAGGTGGTTGCTAAAATTCACACCACACAAACTTGTTTGTCTGCGACAACATAGTGTTGTGTACAATGGCAGGAAACTCGGGAGAAAAGGCCTCACATTTATAACCAGTGCTTTTCAAAATAGGAAATCCCACCACGGTATAATGACAGCCCTGATTATTACCTCCGCCGAGGAGGTTATTTCACCTGTGTCTGTTTGATTGTCAGCAGGATTACGCAAAAAAGTACTGAACCAATTTGCGCTGTACTTGGTGGGGGAAGATCTGATTCCTTAACATTGTACAATTCATTCAACATTTCTGTCTATTTCTCAGGGAATAATACATGAATCTCGAGAAAAAAAAAAAAAAAGTATTTATGGCGATGAGATCTATGAGCTTGTACAGTTTGGCGCAGATCCAGATAATAATCTGGATCTGGTGGGAGAAAATGTTTGGTTTTGCATTGCATTGCAAGTTTTTAACCAAAAAGTACGACCAACGGAGACTCACCTCTGCACCTGCACTTGAGGATGTGCTTTTTGCTCAGACGAAATCCCACAGATACAGCTATACACAGTGGAAAAAGACAAATAGCAAGAAGTCATTTATGTGGAACAATAATACATTACTCATCAACCACTTGGAACCTTCCGGTCAAATACAAATTCACTTATTGACAGAGTGGTACGTCCCGGTGTGTATTTCACAAGCAGAGTTAGTTATTTGATTTAAAGGTGGTGAGTAAAACGACACAGGAAAATGTGAAAGTGCAAATTCTCCTCGTGTTTACCTTTGCTCTCGTAGAAGCTGTCGACCAGAATGATGAGCAGGAGAGTAACACCTACGATCTTGGACATGATGGCAGCAGCTAATGTGTTCGCTTCATTCACAAGAAAGTGTTGAAATAATTCTACAGGAGAAGAGAAACCAAGACAGTTTTATATCAGCCCAGACGGTCCACATCGACGTGGGCCTGCACACAGGGGGGGGGGGTTTCCGTTAATCTCTACACTGTGCATGGATTCATTCATAAAATGCGATGGGACATGCAGATAGCACTTACACATTCCCACACCCCCCCCCACACACACACACACACACACACACACACACAGACACAGGGATATAAATGCACGAAAACACTGAACTTTCAAGTAAGTGACAACCAGTATATTCTGCGAATGTAAGAGATATGATCCGTATTCTCTTTGGTTGAGCGTAGTCCATCACGGCTCTATCAGATGGGCTCCAGTTATCCTTGCTTTGAAGGAGAACAGACGGGGCGGCTACATGGAGACGCTCCTCACCCCAGAAAACACAGAAGCTGTGCCAGATCCTAGGCTGCACATATGGGCCCGTACCAGACAGGAGGTGTTGATATTTAGGCCTGGTCTCTTTGTTCTTTTTAGTCAAGTTTACACCGAGACTACTACCACTCGGAGTGGCAGAGGTTGGATGTTTCAGCCGTCTATCTGCTCGCTAACTACCTCTGTTTACTCTTGTGACGTTAAGGGGGTAAAACTGAGTCCCGTCTGTACTAGATATGCATCATATTTGTCTGTTTATGTTCCCCTCAAGTGTGTAGATGTGAATTTACTTCTACCAAATGAGTTTAATGTTCAAATGAGCTGAGCTGCCCCACAATATTTTCATGTCCCCACTGGTCAACGCAAGGTTATAAATGCCCCTGCCCGTAAATCATTGCAGTAGATACAGGTGGACTTTTACATGTTTCAATTATTGACTGATAAATATAAAAAATAACTGAACTACATATTGAAAACATTAATACAAATGCACTTTACATGGCAATTTATTGATTCAAATCATTAAAATGATACATAACAGTATTTATGTATCCTAATAATTAACCCTTTAACATCTAGTCTTCCCCATTCATTCCTTTCCTCAATAAGTAACTTTAAGATAGAAAAAAAAACAGTTGTATTCCACATTGTCATCATATCATACGTCGGCCTGTTCTGTTTCAGCTTCTTCACTGAAGAACAGGATTTTATTATTTTGTGTATCAGCTTGTTCGAGCTCCTCGTTCAAGCTGTATGATGTTCACAATGAGTGAAAGATTCAAACCCAAGACGCCACTTTTATTTGTTTGTTTTTTTTTTTTATGGCTGCTTCATTCCATCAAATTTAAATATTCTAGACATTGTTGTGCGTCATTTTATGTACAAAACACACACACCTGCCCAAAATTTAACTGCATGGTATGAGTTTTTAAACACGGAAAAAACTGGCAGAGTCCAGATGTGAGCAATTTTGATAAAACATATAAAACACAAAAGACATTTCTGCAACATATTTACAGAGAAAAGTTTAGGTCTAAACATTAGAAACCTGTTCCTCATACCTCAGCATGTGGCCCGGGATGAGTCTCAGTGAGTGGGCTATGCTGGGACATTGCAGACACTGGTTGGGGTTAGGACAAGGTTGAGTTCAATCTAAGGAAAAGAGGAAACACAAATCACTGGGGAAACAATGGAGGACATCTATGAGATTAGTAAACAGATTTTTCTTTATTATATTAATTATGTTTATTTTTCATTGTCATGTAGGTGATAACGAGGGAGAGCTGACTTGAGTTGCTTTCGCTGACATGAAGCTTTACATGTGTTACGTATGGAGGAGGGAGGGGTGGGTGGATGTGTGGGGGGGGGTTATCTAGCAGCGCTAGTCATTGGCTGGCGCCTGAGTCACTCTCT